GGGTGGGGGAGTATTTGTTTTGAGGTCTGTGTTTTAAGTATTTATACACCCGGGTCGTTATGCACGGCACGCCCCTCCCCAACGCACACATTAGCCACTGCGCATCGCCGTCCAGCCCCAAACCTCGCTAACCCTGACTAGCTTGGCCGCGTGTTATCTGTCCATGCATGTCACACCCCCACGGCTTCCCATTTCGAGCAATCCATTTACCGCAATTTATCCGACATGAAGTACTTCGGTAAAAGCAAATAACTTTTTCCTTCATTTTCTCTCAAGCACAAATTATGCACCCGCGCACACCCACCCACCCACCCACCCACCCACTCACCCACACACACACACACACACACACACACACACACACACACGCCCCACAAACACACAAACACACAAACACATGTGTGTGTTCCAGGGCGGTTATCCGGGTGCATAAGGCCTCCCTGGCCGCTCAGCGGGAGGTCTGGCAGCTGATGCAGCACCCCGCAGTGAAGGCGGCGGCGATGGATGCGGCGCTGCGTGCTCTGGATGCGACAGCTGAGGCTGCACACAGGGTGTATCGGAGGTACGTTTGTACTTGTGCGTGGTATGTGTGTATATATGTATGTGTGTGAACGTGACAGGCATCTGACCGGAATTGACACTGGCCAGGGGCTGCTGTCCAGCCCCAACGGAAAGACCGCCTAATGTCTCTCCCGCGGACGGGAGAGGGCGCGAGGGGCATCTGCCCTCTCCTAAGCAGCCGAGAGCCGTAGGTCCGCCACTGTGTGTGCCTGTCCGGGAGGAAGGGGGTCCCCGGGAGGATGGGGACAGAATTGAGAGATTGAAGGCTTTGACAACTGAAAAGCCCCAGAAGCCTGTGCGACAAAACAATTGAAGCGCCAGTTCTGCCCGAGTCGCACCCCACCTCGTATACGCAAAAAATCCCACCCTCATCCCCAACACACCCACCGCACACTCAACCTTCTGGTCACCTCATCTTTCACACCCGTCCTCATCCCCCACCTCTTCAGGGTCCTCGAGCGTTATCCTCACAACGGCAAGCTGCTCCGTTGTTACGGCAAGTTCCTGGAAGATGTACGGCATGACCCGGTGTCGGCGGCTCGGGCTTATGCGGATGCAGCGCGAAATGGAGGTGGTGATGGGTTGCTTTCCTTAGATCTGAAGGTAGGGACGTGAACAAAGTTCAAGATTTGGGAATTAGTTGTTCGACCATTCAGATTTCTTTCATTTCATTTGGGCGGGTGCACGGCTGCAGCGGTAGTGTAAGGCCGCAACCATGCTGGCAAGTTGGATGCGCAAGCGCACCATTGACAAGCCCCCGAGAAATATTCAAGTTAATCGCAGGTCCTCAATGAGGACCATATTAGCGATTAAGCTAATAAGAACAGATACTACACATGATCTGAGCCAAAGGGCCGAGAAAGGTATGAATAATGCGTTAGAAGCCTCAATAGGTTGGTCGACGATGCAGGCTGCCAACAAGGTTTGCGCACGATGGTGGGTAATGAAATGACAAGTTCAGCTTTCAACTGAAAGCCGTTCCTTGTGAACCATAAACACAATATTAATAATGAACCTGTGAAGGCAATCGAGGCAATCGAGATCTGCCGCAGATTACCCATCTATGTACGTTCCAAGTAAGGCTTGACCTTAGCCGTGCGTTTGTCTCTCTACCGTACTGCCACTTTATATTGGTGCTTCAATTTTTTCGAAGATCTTGACAACTGCAGCTGGTTTTGCTTGGTGCCATGCAATTTGGTAAGGACCAGGACGAGTTACTGCAGTTGGGATACGGATTTTGGTGGCGCTCCGATTGGACCATCCACCCACGTCTCTGCCCCCAACAGCCCGCACCGATCGCAGTTGGTTTACTGTATTCCCGTGCGACATATTTGCGACAACCCCACGTCGTGCTCTTAGATACAAGTCATGCCCACCTCCTCCCCTCCCCCTCACCTGTCCCCCTCACAAACCCAGATTACCGGCAGCGACAAGCCCGAGTTCCTAGCTTCCATGGACCTCCACGACGATGCGTGTATCGTTATTAATGCGGAGGGGAAGATACTCATGGTCAATGCGGTGAGGGGAGCTTAGTGGAATTCCTAGAATTTATACGTGTGTCACGTTAGAGGTTTGATAGGTTTGGTCCATGTTTTCTACCCGGGTGTGGTTGTGGTTGTGGTGCGGGTGCGGGTGCGGGTGCGGGTGCGGGTGCGGGTGCGGGTGCGGGTGCGGGTGCGGGTGCGGGTGCGGGTGCGGGTGCGGGTGCGGGTGCGGGTGCGGGTGCGGGTGCGGGTGCGGGTGCGGGTGCGGGTGCGGGTGCGGGTGCGGGTGCGGGTGCGGGTGCGGGTGCGGGTGCGGGTGCGGGTGCGGGTGCGGGTGCGGGTGCGGGTGCGGGTGCGGGTGCGGGTGCGGGCGCGGGCGCGGGTGCAACGGAAACCTCACGAGCCGCAGCCAACGGTGATGGTAACGACAAGCACACGGCGGTCAACGCCCGGCCTGTGATATCGGCGAAGGCGCGAGACCTTTGTTGGACACACATTCCATCGGCGGCTGCCCTCACCTCCTTCCATCAAAAATCCCAGCTTCCAACTCTGAACTCCCAACTCCTCGCACGGCTCCTCTCGCAACCGCATCCCCTAACTGCTTGCATGTCAGACCGAATTAGTCAAAAAATCTACTTAGCCACAAAATCCTGGTTAGTCAATCCTTGCTCAACATGACGTCCAACCCCAGCAGTAACCGCCCGCAAACCAACCCACTTTCCCCACCTTTCATGCCGTGCGATGATGTGCGCCTCTCCGTACTGCATGTCGTACATCCAGTGTGTCACGGACCTGCTGGGGTATCCCCGGTCAGAACTAGAGGTGGGTGTCAATCAGCAGATATGTTACAGCATTTACCCGAAGGGAAATTAGTGGGCCTGGTCCACCGTGTCGTACGGTCGTACTGTTTTAACATTACGACCGTTATTAGAGCGTGCCCAGCTTTTGTGTATCGCCCTGTCCTGCGCCGTTCCTGAACTGCACTGTGCTGTGGATGCTGTTCGAGTGTGTCTTGGACCAATAACGCGGTGGTGTGTGATTGGCCAGTCGCCGGCAATCGTGCATCTCGCAACGGATTACATGCGTGCCCCCATTCCCCTCCAGTAACACAACACAACAATATCGCACCAGTCTGACATCCGCTGCACACATCGGATTCGGACGCAGTTACCACTCACTGCCTGCCTCTCGGGCTCCGCACACGCCATATCGATCATTATCAACCGTGGCACCAGCACATTGCATGCTTCACGTACTTCATATAGGTCACCTTTGCGTGCTGTTGATGTATGCGCGATGTTCCGATCGGGCACTTGTACACACGCACGTACACGCGCACGTACACACGCACGTACACACGTTTTTCTTAACTACTGGGTTCCCCGGCTGTCCCTCCTCGCCAGGGCTCCAATGTATCCATGATTATGCCGCAGCCCTTCTCCAGTCGTCACACGGGGTACATAAGCAGATACGTGCAGGTGGGCTGAAGGAAAGGGGGATGGTGGGTTCAGCGATGGTCCGTTTCTAAGTCTGTAGTACAGTGTCGTTGCCCTCCTTTGCGAGCCAAGTATGTTTATTTCTACCCGGCCCCCTGCTCCGTCCCCCTCCTAAACCCCAACCCCCGCACACACATCTCTCTCACAGGGCGGTGAGCCCCACATCCTGGACACGGTCAGAGACGTGGTGGCGCTACACAAGGTGCGGGGAGTTGTGTGTGGGGGGGGTTGTGCGGGGGTGGGTGGGGGTGGGGGGTTTGGGGGGTGAGGTTGTGCGGGGTTGGGTGGGGGTGGGGTGTTGTGCGGGGGTTTGGGGGGGTTTGGGGGGGTGAAATCACCTTAAGAACCTATCCATGTACGTACCTACAGGCGTACGCACATCCCCTTGACAGGTGCCCTCTCCCTCACTCTTCTGACCTGCAGGACCGTTACGTGTTCCCGTTGCAGCTTTGCGTCACAAAGCTTTCAGGAGTGGGAACGTAAGTACGTTGGCGGCGGGTTGGAATGCAGTGTGTGTGTGGGGGGGGGGAAAGGTAAAGATTGTGGAGGCGAAGTTCCTGGTATGTGAGCGGAATGTTTGGCTTCTCTTTATCAGCTCCTTTCCCTCCTCCCTCCTCCCTCCTCCCTCCCTCCTCCCTCCTTTGCTCCCTTTGTCTTAGGGGCTGGGATTAAGATTCCTGCAAGGCCATTCGTTAACCCCCCTTTCCCACTCCATCTTCTCACAATCACCTTTATAGGGCATCTGTTAAGTTCATATTTCCTCTGCTGCTGCTTCTTGCACGCACCGCGTCTTGTCTTCGCAGCGACGCCATCTTCCTGGGCCTCCTGCGTCCGCAGCCTCTGGACAGCCGCAACATGCGGGCCTGGGTGGCGCCCAACGGCGTCATCCTGTGCACTGACCCGCAGTTCTCAAGTCTGACCGGGCTGCTGGGGGAGGAAATGGTACGACGGGCGCGCGAGAGGGGTGTACGGAGTACGGGGCTGCTGTACGGAGCAGTTGGGTACTGGGGCATGGGGATGCTCGATTGGGCGCGTTACACACAGCTTCCAGCACTTGTACAGCCGTGAACGGGAAGCAACCTAGACAGCACTGAAGGTTTGGGGCCCTTGGTGAAGGTTTGGGGCCCTTGGTGCCCTTTATGTTGCCGTACTGACTACAACGAGCTACCCGCATGGCCCGTGGGTGGGCTCCTCCCCTAGATTCACCTTGCCGTACAATTGCTGTGCGTGTGTATTTCCCACGTAATACCGGACATACGGATTCACAGGTTGGCCGCAACTTCCGGACCCTCTGCACCGACATTGCCGCTGTGGACGCGATGTTGGAGAGCTGCCGTACCGCGCCGTACGAACAACTCGTGGCGGGCGAAATCAGTTTCAACCTTGAAATGGCGCACAGGTTCGTATGTGTGCGCGTGCGTGCGTTTCTGTGTATCTGTCTGTTCTCAGTCTCTAAAAGTGTCGTACAGCAGTGTGGGTGCACACACGTCATCATGCACCTCATGATCCAAAGCTTCATCAAACTTTGTCCAAAGTTGCTGATTTCCCAATTTGCACGCCAACACCCGGCGCCACGCTAACCTGATTGTTTCCTTGACCCCGCTTCCTCTTACCTCTCACCTTTCACACCTCACCGCGGGCCCTGTAGGTACCTTCCGCCGATGCCCGTGCGTATAACCGTCAAGCCAGGTGGCACGGACTCACAACGAATTTTCGTCATGAACGCACAGCGCGTCTGCAACGCCGACACAGGTTTCGGCGGCGGCGGTTCCTCGGAGTCCGCGTCTGCGCCTTTCTTCTCATCGTCGTCGTCGTCTTCGTCGTGTTCTGAGGGCCTTATTGTGGTCGATGCACGCGGTGGGCTGGTGTTTGCAACATGGGATGTTGCAGCCATGCTGGGCTATCCAATGCGCTCCTTTTTGAGGTTGCGATTGGAACAGCTTCTTCCGGAGCCCTTCGCCACGTTGCACGTCGGCAAATATCTGCGGGTGGGTGTGTTGGAGGCCGGGTTGGGGGAAGGGAGACGCAAGAAGATTGGGGGGCCTGGACGGTGTAGCAGTGGTTAGGGTTTTAGGGTTTTGGAGCCCTATGTTGGATTTGGAGCCGTGGATGCTTTGCGTTTTTATGTTAAGCATGAGCACTTATGGCAAGTACGAGCACGGGCATGTGCAAGGGAATACGTGCGCAAGCCGCTGTTTTCATGTTTTCCGTGTCCATACGTGTGTTTGCCATGTCCTGAACCATCACACACACATACATGCTCCCGTACACCTCTCCCCCCTCCCCACCAACCCCACGCTCGCCATCTTCATCCGCCATCCAACTGCAGGAGGCTCCCGCCACGATACCCCCCGTAAGCTGCCGGGCTGGGCGCCTGGTGCACCTGGTCAACAGCAACGGCGCCCAGGTACCTGTCAGACTCAAAATTACGACACGCGAGGATGACGGCGGCGGTGGCGGTGGCGGTGGTGGCGGCGGCCGTTTCGGAGCTGTCGGTGGCGGCGGCGGCGGCGGCAGTGGCCATGTCAGGCACGTCATCCAGGTGCGTGGGGAATGCGGCGAGAAAGGAATAGCGGGGATCTGCTGGGGCAGAGCAGGGGGGAACGGCTTCCACCTGTTTTGGGTGCCTGCTTATTCTATGCAACTGCAACCCACGGCATGAGCACGTGAACCCCAGTACCAGCACCTCACACAATCCCCCACAGCGGCCCCTCTCCGACCCTGATATTTCCTTTGCGTTGCTCCCCGCATCCTTCTGTCCCTGCTAGGTTAATAAGGTTGACACCAACAATGACATTGCGCTGCATGCGGATAGACGGCTTGTGTTGACATGTTCCATGGACGGGTCCATTGTCTTTGTGGATCAGCCGTCATCTGCGCTTTTTGGATTCTCGGCCTCAGCGTGTGTTGGATCAAATCTCGCCGACTGCATTGATGTTTTTTCGGAGTGGCGCACCAAGGCAGGCGCCCATCAGACGGAACTGCTGCTACTGAGCCTACTTGATAAGGAAGCAGAGATGCCGGGTACCAGTTGGCGTGTCAAGGTGCACAGCCCCGAAACTGCAGAGGATGGGGAGCTCCGGAACCTGCCGCCGAGTGGAAATGTGGATGCCAAGGTGCCAACACGAAGACCCGTGGGTCGCTCCGCCTGCCTCCAGACCGAGCTCGTGGAGACGGTGCAGGACGAGAGAAACAGGGGCAGCGGCGGCGGTGGTGGGTTCAATGGTGGCGGTGGCGGTGGTGGTGGTGCACAGGCGAGCGGCAGCCACGCGGGCTCATTCACGGAAGCGGTGGGCGCCGCCGTCAAAAGTGGCGCTGTTGTCAACAGTAGCGGTGGCGGTGGCACCCAGAAGATTCTCGCTCGGATCATTCTGTGAGTTGCCGTTGCCGTTGGGGTTGTGGGCAGTCAGCCCCTTTGAAGCGATTGACAGTGCATGCGAGGGCAACCATTAACGCGCAAAACAAAGTAGGGGTGTATGTGCTCGGTTTCCTCTGCCGGTTTGAGTGTTTGCCCACACCTGCCCTGTGCTACCGTGTCCTGATTACATCCCCTGACGTACGCCGTACATCGTACAGATGGCGACGTGATATCCTGACTGGCACAGTTGAGCTGGACGAGCAGCTTGTGGTACGGAAGGCAGACATCAGTACTGGGCTCATTGTGGGGCTACCACCGTCAAGCCTGCCAAAAATGCCGCTCAGCAGGTACGGCACTTGTTGGGGAATCGGATGGGTTTGCCCGGCGTCGATTGACTCCTAGATTTTGATCGCGCAATTTCAACTTGCATTACGGGCCAGCATCCATCCCTTTCTAGCTGCCGCTACTGCTGCTACTGCTGCTGCCATTGCTACTACTGCTACTGCTGCTGCTGCTGCTTCTACTGCTGCTACTGCTACTGCTACTACTATTGCTACTGCTACTGCGACTGCGACTGCGACTGCTACTGCCTTGGCAGGCTCTTGGACGTAAACCGGGGTATCAGCTGGGAGGACCTCATGGTAGGGAATGCATGTGTGTGTATTCATGTATGATGTGTTTACTCCTATGTTTTCTACCATTCTGTGTGCATGTGTGTTTTGTATTGTGCATGTATGTTTGCATGTGGGGTGAGGAAGGGGGCCGCAATGTCTACATGCACAAGCTAGCACACGATAGCCGGGGCATGTGTGTTTGTAAATGGGGTTAGGGTCTATGTCTGGTGGGTTCATGTGGGCTTAGCAGTAACGAGCTCACATGTTTTTTTCATGCCGTAGGGAAGGCTCTCATGTCTCGTGTTTTGAATGCCGTGGTACCGGTACTCTGCTGCATTTTTGCTTCACAGCGCTTCATCTGCGCGTGTGTTATATTTTCTCCATCACCATTTCTTCACATGCCACGCAGATTACCCATCATCGCAGTTACTTCTCTGTGTACGCCTCTCCACCTGTCGCCCCCCCCCTAGATACCCCCCTACCTCTTACCTTGCTTGCTGCCCACACATTCCCCATATTCTTTTTTCCCGGCCTTCCCTCTCCTCTCCTCTCCTCCATTTCCCTCGCCTCGCCTCCATTTCTTTTTCATTCACATCTAATATGCTAATGATATCCGTTGCCCACAGCTGTCAGATAACCACAGATCCCACAAGCCGTCTGCGCTCAAGGGTAGCACTACAGCTGTGGTATCGGAGCCCAAAGCCTTTATCGGTCCACATCCCGACGGTGGCACCATGCGCATCATCCTGCAGGTATGCGGCAATTAACAGCAAGCACAAACATATAGCAGACTTACGGCAAGCTAGCTGGCGGGAACCGCCTTTTTACATGAGCCTTATCTCATGACGACAGAACCCCGTCCGCAATCCTTCCCCTCCCCTCTAACAGACGTTAATGAACAAATCGTTGGTCGGATTCAGAAGTCTCATTTCTTGCCTCACGCACTCAGCAAACCCAATCCCACCACCTCGGCTGACCAATCGTGTAGTTTTCCAGAAAAATACTTCCCCCTGTCCCCTACCCACCCAGCTGCCATTTTCGTACCCTCATATGCAGTGCCATACCTTCCATATGTGTGTGTTTTACAGAGTGGGAGGCTTCTGGGCCGCGTTATCACATTTGTCATGCCTTCCGGCTTTCTTGCCGTAGATTTTCCTGGCCCTCCTCCCCCTTCCCCCGCACTCCCAGGGTGTCAGCAGCCTGGGCAGCAGCAGCGGCCGCATCCTGGTCACGCTCCACCCGGATACATCCTACGTGGGCGCCAGGGCCAACTTGTACCGGGCACTGGGGCTGGAAGCCATCATTCACAATCAACAGCAGCAACAGAGCCAACAGCCGGGGCAGCAAGGGAGGAACCCAGACGAGCGCCTGCCGCTACAGCGCCCTACTCCGCGTGCGGTGCTGCCCCGCTCAGATTCAGTTGCCAACCCACGGGTCGGCCCCGCCGCCGCTACTTCCACAACCGATCCATGGGGCGGCGGTGCTGCAGCGCCGGCCGTAGCCGGTGCCGCAGCTCCCGGCGCCGTCGCAGCCGACGCTGCAAAGCCAAGCACCCTCTGTGATGTAGCGGGCTTGGGGGCTGGAGGCGGGGTTGCTACGCAAGCTGGCGGCGGGTACAGCGGTACGGCATTGGGGGGCTCCGGATCACAGAGCTCGTCCTCTCTGGACAGCGACGGCTCGGCTGGCGGCGGCGGCGGCGGCAGGCTAGAGCGACTGGCCAAGGGCGACGGCGGTGGCAGCGGCGGCAGTGATGATGGCGGTGCTAATGGCGAAGGTGATGGCGATCAGGACTCAAGCGATGACGACGACGATGACGATGGCGATGACGATGGCGATGACGAAGACAAGGAAAGAAAAGAGGATGCGGACGGAACCAAATTGCATGTGGTGAGCCGGTGGTGGAAAAGGTACTTGTGTAGCTGGCTGAGAAAATATGCCTTCCCGTGTCCCTTGTGACCTGTCCCTTTTGACGCCAGCCCGGGATGACTCGTCGGGCTCCCAGTCGCCCTGGTCCTGAACGTGCGCTCTTTGGGTTTTTTCTGTACTTTCTGCCCGTAGAAAGAACTCCTCGGGTGCGGCTTCGTTTTTGTTAGGTGACCAGCGGACCTAGAACCCGTTTAGCTGGTGCGCTACCCCCCGGTGGGGACGCTGCTGCTTAGTGCCGGCCATCGTACCCCGCGCGGTCTGACCGGGGGCGGAATGCACGAGAATAACCAGCCGTGTGCGTCTGGCCCCCGCGCTGTGTTTCGACCCCGGGGGCCCCCCGGCTTTGAAGCCCACAGTGTAATCAACGACATATATGCATACATGCATACATGCATACACGCACGTACGTAGCTTTTTTGGCGATCCCCCCTCCCTAAATATGCACACGTAAATAACGCGTACAGCCGTCCATACGCAACACATACACGGAACGTTTGCCTCTGCCATGGCTCGCAGCGCGCACACACGCAGTCTGAGTTTGTGGAGTCCTGGGTTCGCTCCTTGTCACGCCAAATGACTGCGGCTCGAGAGCGCATCAGCAACAGCGCAGCCGCCTCAAGGGAGCCCTCGAGTAAATCGCTGCTGGCGGCACCACTGCCGCCAGGCGGCGGCAGCCGACCTCTTAGTCGGGCTCCCGCCGCCGCCGCCGCTGCCGCCAGCAGCAGTGACGACCAGCACACACGAGCAGTGCTGGTGCGCGCCAGTACCAGACTGCTGGCGAGTGGTCTCGTAGCTGCCGCCAGCTTCCGTCGTCAAGGTACGACAGAGGCGCCGGCGGCGGACCCGCTGGAGTTCAACAACGTACCGATTTGGGAGGACCGACTACGATCGAGCACGCGAGCCCGGACCCCAAGATGGGGAGCGGCGCTGGCTAGCAGCAGCGGCGGCGGCCGCCGCCTGGCGGCAGTGGCAGCGGCAGCAAGGGCGGCTGCGGCGGCTGCCGCCGCCGCCGCCGCTGTCTCCGCCGCTGACCCTGACGATGGCGCCCGGGACATTGTCATGGCGGACGCCTTCGGCAGCGGACGAAAGGCTCGGATGGCTGATGTGGCAGATGAGGTGCAGCAGCTGGATGCCGCCGCTGGTGGGTGGTGTGCGGTGCATGCTTGTATGTGTGTGTGCGTGTGTTTTGCATTGGTGTGTACGTATGGTGTGTACGTATGTATGTTTGTATGCGAGGATGTAGGTCGCGGATTCTGGGATGGAAGGTACGTGGAAGGTATATTGCTCTGTGACGCATGTTGGCCCAGGGTGCGGTGGGATGGGTCGCGTAACGCCACTTAACCACTGGTTAGGACGAACGGAATGGATTGGGGCTCATGCCCAGCAGATGTGTGGCCCTGTGCCTAGGTTTCCAAACCCTGATTGTGCAACATATCAGGATGGATAGAGCCAGACGTTGCCAGAGCCCTGCCGACCTGGCAAGGTGCGTTATTCATGGGGCCATATTCAAGGTGCTTTTAGGCAAAAGGTTGAAGCCTAAAGACCTGACCAGCCCGCACCTGGCCCTACCACCCAAGTGCCATTCAATCCACCATTCGTAAGTCCGCAAGTCCGTACCCCACTAGACCTGGGCACCAATGCACGACTGAGGACGGTTAATTAGCTACTGTGCAGACCAGGAGCTATAAGGATCCATCCAAAAATCATTAGGCAAGAGTGCCGCTGTCACTGGGATACGTGCTTGCTTAGGCAATGGTGACAATGACATGGAGGCTGCGACGGGGGCAAGGCACCCTCACCCATCCCTTCCCTTCATTCTCTCTGTTGTTGTTATGGAGTGGGGGAATTCTGGGCTACATGAACACGTTGTCGTAATCGTCACTAATCCTGCGTGCAAATATCGGTCAATCATTTCCTCATCTGGTCAGCTAGCCATAATCTCACGACGCCGACCATGACAGGGAATCCCTCAGGAATCAATCCTATGACCTCAAGACCGCACATTGCAGAAGTGTCGCCAGACCAGGCCTTCCTCTGTCCGAGAATCTCTCCCGCCTTCCCTCACTCTCCAGTTTCCTCTTTCCGCTCTTCCCTATCTCCCCTCTTCCCTCACTCTCCCCTTTCGTCTCTCCCGCCTTCCCTCACATGCACGCACGTCCCAAGGTCGCGCCCTAAGAACCGTAAACCCTTTACCTGTGATGCTGGTTGTATTTCAGGAGGGAGTTGGAAGGGCAAGGAGAGCCTCGCGGTCGCTGCCGCTATTGGCGGCGGCAGCGGCCGGGGCGGTGGCGGCGGCAGCAGCATCGGCGATGACGATGGTGAGGGCAGCCAGGGCGCCAACGGGGGCCCGGGTGCGCTATCCGACTTCACCTCCGTGGTGGAAGTGGAACTGTCGACCGACGCGCGGCGGGCCCGGCTGCTAAAGCGCATGACACGGGTGCGTGTGTGTGCATCTGTGTGCATCTGTGTGCATCTGTGTGCATCTGTGTGCATCTGTGTGCATCTGTGTGCATCTGTGTGCATCTGTGTGCATCTGTGTGCATCTGTGTGTACGTTAGAAATAATATATATGTGTGTATATGTGTGTCTGTGCGTACTTCGAGGAGGGGAAAAGTGGGGTTCTTCCCATGACGTGTGTTTTTCATGACGGGATGACGGGTGTCTGTATATATATGCGTTTTGGAAAGGTACGGAGAAAAGTTTTCTTAGGGTTTTTAATCCCTCCCTTTCCGTCATTTCAACCCCCCCCCCGCTCCACTTCTTTCATCTCTACGTTCTCCCGACCCCCTCAACCCTCCGACGTAAAACCCCTCCACAGATTCTTTCTGGTCCCTCCCTGGAGCAGCCCCTCTCACGTCTGTTAACCCACACGCTGGTGCTGCTGGCGGCGATGTTGGCGACACATGTGGTGCGTGTATGTGTGCATGTGTGCATGTATGTACGTATGTACGTATGTATAAGAGTGCTTTGCAGTGGGCCACGCACCCATTGCGGAGCCCAAGCGATGTTGACCTGTGGATGGTTCTATGCATGGTGGCATGTGCGTACACTCGCTGGTAGGCACTGCTTAGCCAGCCATGTGGCGTTATGTATGTTATGCATGTGCGTATATCAGCATGTTGGTGTGTGTTTCGCGTCAGCTGTGAAGGGGGCGTGCGTGGCGGCTGCCGAAGTGGGGGTGGGGATTCGTGACTTTAGGCGGTCTGGGCACACCAATCCGGGAACCCAGGGGGGGAGTCAAGATTTGTACGACCTGACTGGACCAGACCGGGGTCGCCTGGTTGGGGTGGGGGAGTGCGGGACCTGGGTGTGTGGGCTGTGGGGGCTGTGGGGGCTGTGGGGGCTGTGGGGGCTGTGGGGGGCTGTGGGGGGTGTAGGGGCTGTGGGGGGTGTAGGAAACACAACCCACAAGGAAGGCAAACAGCGGACGCTGGTGTGGGTTTGGGGGATTTGGGGATTAACAGGATTCCATGAGGAGCGGTCACCGCCGCCGTGACCGTCATCAGGTTAATTTCCTTTCCTCGTTCGTTAACATTTCCTTGCCCCGAAACCACGAACTGCCTTCGCCGGAGCTCCGCTACCTTCCCCTCATTCCCCAGCACATATACACACACTCGTGAGGCACCACAAAACCATGACCATCAAGCTCCCGAAAGAATCCGCCCCCGTCCCTTAACATCACCGCCGTACAGATCTGCTACATCGTCCTGATGGGCCTTATCAACTCGCAGTACGCCCACGTTCACGAGATCCACCGAGTGGCGCTAGCCTCGGATCGTACCCAGGTTCGTCAGTTTGTTGGTTGGCTGACTGGCTGGTTGGTTAGGTCGTTGATTTATTCATTGGTTGGTTCGTTAATTGGTATTTAGGCGTTATTTACGCATTAGTTATTCGGTCTTAAACAGTGATCCCCGTGCCGTTTTAAACGGGTGACTTAGGGTCTACTTCAAGCCTTAATCATGCCATCACCGCGTATGTATGTATGTATGTTGGTACAAGGTGGTATAGCTTCACCAGCGGCCCCCTTTCCCTTGGAGGCAGTTCCCTGCTCTCCCCTGCGAGAGGGGCACCCTAATCCATTCACCCCATCCGATTTCAGAATGTATTCGTTGGGTTCGGCAACTCACCACCAGCATCCAACCAAATCTAGCGGATCAACGGCGCCACAACATAGTTCCTGGTCAGCTCGCAAATTGCTATAATCACGTCCTACGCCGTCCACAAGATGGGGGGCCACCTCCCAATTCAACACCCCTCATACACCGAGGAGGCGGCAGGCGGATCTGAACCCGAACCCTCCGGGAGCAGAAGTCAAGCCTTAACTCCTGCCAGCCACCTGCCTGAATGATAACACTACCAGCGCCCGCAACCCCGCTCCGCCCTTTCCCCCTTGTCTTGTCGTACAACGTTGTTATTACGGCCATGCTTTACTTGCACATCTTCCACAACGCAGCTATTTTCACCACCCCATCGGCGGCAATTCCAACTACGGCTCCGCTTTGTGGGCGCTGTGATGTGAATGATGTTGTGGACTGTCTGGTGTTGGGTTGAATGATGAGCAGGTTTCCGTCATCAAGGCAGCTGCGGCGGAGTTTTGCTCCCGGCCCGGTATAGCTCCTGTGTGCGTGTGTGAGGTCCCCCTGACCAGCCATCTTCTGGACCTCATGGAGGCGCTGAACGACCTGGAAAGCTACCACCACAACGTGTACTTGGGAACGGATGTGGCCTCGGCCGGAGGAAAAAGCAGAGGGCAGGTGAGACGGGAATACATGTATGGGTGAATGTGAAGGTCAAAAAGGGGAAAGGCTTGGATGCGGAAAGAGAGGGAGAGGGGAATTAGGTTTAAGGGAAGTGGGAGGGGGAAAAAGTCGTAGATATGCAGATCTGTGCACACGTAACTGCGTGCGCGCTTTACCAGACGGTGGCCTGCACCAGGATTAGTAAGTGCTCGCGTTGCCACACGCGGGGCAGCATTTGCGTGATTGGCTGTGTGTTTTCTTGAGTAGTTGCCGTACCGCTTAGGGGTCGTACAGACGGAGGGTCACCTGCAGGCAGGAAGATTGTGCTTGCTTCCGTGGGAGGGGGCGAGCCTCCTGGCTACTGATACTTTAATAATCTGTTCCCGGTCGAGAGAAAGAAGGGGGGATTTACATGAGTGCCGCGGGGAGCCCCCCAACTGCACTAATAACCCAAGAGGCTTTCGAGACATTCAATTTCGTATCTACACTGTCGGCCAAGTACGCCAGCATGGCTTCACGCGAGTGCCAGCCCCCCTGCGGCCCCCCTGAAACAGACGCTCGCTGACACCCTGCTCCGCTGCCACAGTTGGTCGCACCTCCCGAGCGCAGGCTGTGCAGCCAGAACGCGGAACGCGCTTGCGTGTAGCTAATACCCTCCGTACGCTTGCGTGTAGCTAATACCCTCCGTACGCTTGCGTGTAGCTAATACCCTCCGTACGCTTGCGTGTAGCTAATACCTGACACCTCCGCTAAGGCACTTAGCACATGGTATCGTGCCTGTGAATGTGCTGATTGCGCGCCCCTCAAGGGGGCAGCCTTCCCGCTTCGAGCTGCCTGGCCATAAAACCCTGGAACAGCGGTTCCGTCCTCTTCAGACCAGACGGGCGCAGATACCGCTCTAGAAGGGTCACAGGGCTGGCCTCGCTGCTGCCCCCCCGCGCGACACACACCACGGTGCCTTCCTGGGACTTAGGATCGTTCTTGCGCTTGGCAAGGAAGGTCGCCGCATACTCCTCCTCGTGGAACTGCACATCGTCCCACAGCCAACAAGCCCACCGCACCGCACCGCATCATCATAACGCAGGAAGGCGGCGAAGCACAATGCTGTAAACACAAGCCGCGAGCATGACCCGCCACACCGGGGGGCTCCAATTATGCCAAAAGTTGAACCACCACTATCACCACCTGAAGGGTCAAAGGTTCCTTACACCACGCCGCACCACAGTTGTTCCCAGGGTGCGCTTGGCTGCCGCCCGCAGCACCGCCTTGCTGAGGGGGGCGGTTGTTTGGTAGGGTTCTCCGTTTCACACGCCAGATTATGTTGTTCGAAAATTGCTGCGCTGGTTAACTTTACCGCGGCATAACTCGGCATACCGCGGCATTTTTGGCCACGGGCGTCAAAAACATCCCCCCACAGTCACGGGGTTCGCCGGCAGATAACAGTGTTCTCTCACTTTGCACCAAGCCTTAAAGGACTCCCAAGGGTTTGTGTACGTGGAACCCGCCAGGGGTTCAGGGGTTTTAGGGTTATGCATCCATGCATCCATGCATACATACATATATACATGCACATCATCTTTTCACCCGTCCCCTCCGTTCCTTGCGTCTGTTGCCGGTTTCCATCCCTTCCTTCCCCTTTTCAACTTCTCAGACGCCACGGAAAATAGACCAGGGTGGACTGTACGACATGTGGACGAAATCTGCATTGCCGTACCAGGTAAGCCACATGGGGCACATCATGCGAAATTTACTTACGAAGGTTTTCCATTTGCATGTTCGTGTGTATGTGTGTAATTGAACTCAGCCGCGAGGAGGCGTAACGAGTTGCAGAGATGCCGCCTGGGCAACCTCACCGATGCAAGTCATCCAGTAAATGAACGAAGTGCCTGAAGTACCTGAATTTACGTAAAGTTGTTGATAAGGTGACGGACGCCACAGAGGGCAGAATTAGCGGTCGCTGCAACCCCGTCGCTGCATACCCTTGCTTCTGAGGAGCAACCAACGAAACCCGAGGGCACTCTTCTCCAGCTCACCCGCGCCCTTCAAACCTAACCCTTAACAACATTTCTCCCTGTACACACACACACACACACAAATCGCATACATACTACATACACACATGCCACCCTCATCATTTTGCTTCTCGCGGCTCAAATCAATTAAAACAAACACACGCACATACATACATACATGCAGGTCTACATGGATCTGGAGTCCCCGTCCTGGGTCAACCTAACCGCCGGCGTGTGGCAGTTGGGCAACCGCTTTGTTGCCACATGCCGAGAGCTGTTGTACTGGGGCCAGAGGCTGGGGGGCAACATCAGGTGTGTACGTATGTATGCATGTATGCGTTGCAAGGAAAACACCCTGAAGCTCTAAAACCCCTTTCCCTTTTTCCCCCCCCCTTCGATCCGCGTTTGCAGCCACATCCGCTCGTTCCAGTTCGTACAAGCCAACGGCCCCTGGTCTCTGTTCCAGGCCTACACAGCCAGTTTGGATTACCTGGCCCGAATGGCGTGGGAGGATGTGGCCGCCTTGCAACACAGTGGGTGCGGGTGCGGGGTGTATGTATGCATGTGTGTAGTTGTGGTACACGTCTTTATGAGGGCGGGCGGTGGGCGGGGAGGAGAGGGGAAGGTACGCAGAAGCAAGCTGTCAGCTCTCTCTCTCTCTCTCTCTCTCTCTCTTCCTTTCTAAAATCAGCGCCTCCCACAGAGATCCCCTCCCCTCCCCCCAACACACACGCCAACACACACGCCCACACACACACACACAGGCCCCCCCCCCACACACACACACACACACCAGCACACACATCCCAGAACACACTCCACTCTTCATCCCACAGGCTTGCTGATAATCCTCCTAGTCGAGGCCATCGCCATACAGTTGTCCTGCATCGTGTACGAATGGTGGCTTGTACGGAAGGTGGAGATGAGGCGTCGTGGGGCGCTGCTGGTGCCGCTTGGGCTGCCAGGGCCCGTGCTGCGATTGTTGTCCAACCGGCCTTTAGTGGTGATGGAGGTATGGATGTACGGATGTACGGGTGTACGGATGTACGAGGAATGTCCATGACATGTATCAAGGATCGAGGATCGCGGATGTGTGCATGTATGCATGTATGTGCCGTTACATCAGCCGCTGGGGATGCAGTAAGGGCGTACACAGGGATTTATTCCTGCGTCCGACTGACAAACGGATCGACACGACAGCGACATGCGGCAATAGCTGCTAACGAAGACATCTAGGCTGCTATCCCGCACCAACCTTTTTTCCCCGTAACCCCCTCCCCCCATCCTTTCCGCCAACCACCCCTAGTACCCCCCTCTCCCAAACTATCACCCGCTATCCGTTGCGGCTTCCAAGTCAACGCTGAATGCGTCGCCGCCTGCCCGCTTCTCTTCCTCTTCACTGTTCCCATTCTTATTCCCCGCGGATATAAACGCCACGCGCGCGCATGAAACACGTGAAACACACACGCACACGCGCTGAACACATGCAGGACAGTGACGACGAGGCGGAGTCAGAGGAGGGCGCCGCGGGGTAAGCGGGGGAGGCGGGATGGGGTCCCCGCGAGAACGCTGGAGAGGGGGAGGGGGAGGGGGAGGGAAAGGGAGAGGGAGTGAAGGAGCGCAGAGCGCAAGCGGAGCAAGGATTTGCAGGTTTTTACGAAGGGTTGCCTTACCGCTTGAAGACGGGGATGGGCTCGGGTTCCTGCGAGCAGAAGAGCGCGCTTGCTTCCGTGGGAGGAGGCGAGCCTGCTTACCGACTGCGCTATCTGCCGCGGGGGGGTGTAATGGGCAGAAGCTGCAGTGGAAACCCGTCAGTACTGACACTATGATATGAACTCGCGAAATCACTCTTTCCGTCGCACTCTCCGCGACTTGCACTTCGCTCGCACCGGTACGGCCCCGCCGTACCCCCAACGAACAGCCGGGTACGCTTTTGGCAAATACACTGAAACCTTGATTTTCTTTCGTTTTTCTCAGATTACCTTCAGTTTTACTCCGGGATTTACTTCGAGTTTTGCATAGGTTTTTGCGTAGGGATTCACTTGTTTGTTCAGCCGGTCGAAGGAGCCATATGGCGTTGCGTGGAATAAGAAGAAGCCGCCTTGAACGGCATAAATAGCGTCATCCAGCGCATAATTTACGCACACAGTCACTTTAAACTTTGGTTTAGTTACTGAGAGGAGTAAAGGAGGGCCCTCCGTCGTTACAATGGCCTGGGGATCCGGGTATGCAGCTACAAAACGTGTATTGCCTCGTCTTGTTCCTCCGGTGGTCAGGTCTCAGTTTATTACTATGAGACTGTTTCGGACGCATTGCATCCTGCGCCGCCAAGACCTATCAAGAAATTAAAGCTGCCTTCGTGTCGTGGGGCAAGTTATGGACACCTCGATACGCGCACCGCGGGCCGAAATAAGCTTCAAGCTGTGTTTTGTTTGCGAAATGGGCAAGTGTTTACGGTAGCGGTTGTCCCAATCCTCTTCCGACCCCAAGCAGGCATGCTGGGGACGGAGATGGGATGGGTCCATACCGAAGGTCCTTAGATGGGAACGCCGACGGCGCCATCGCTGCCGACGCCGCCTCAACCGCCACAACTCAAGGCCACATCCGCCGCTTTGCGGACGGCGGCGGTGCCGTACATAGAACCCACCATCGTGCGTCGATCGATTTCGCACCACTGCGCTCCGGTGCATACCTTGGCACCGCCAGCGGTGGTGGCGGTAAGGTCTCCCTGGAGCGTCATCTGCGGCTAACTGAGGCCGCAGATGCGGCATCTCAGCACCACCATTATGGCCGCATGTCCGTCGAGGTACTAGGACCCCATGGTAGCGGCGGCGGCGGCGCCGCCACCGGCGCTGTCGCCGAGTCCCCGACAGCAGCGGCGGCACCTGTACGGCAGGCACCCGAGGTAACCGTCGACCCACGGAACGCGGAGGTGGCTGCGCACCTTGAACAAACCCCGTTGCTGAAGGACCGTACGGACGAGGTAGGATCGGAGCGCGCGGCGCCGGTACGTCAATGCGTCATGGTGCTTGGCGGCGCCGGCGGTGGTGGTTCTGTGAGCAGCATCACCGTCGCCGCCGCCAGCGATGGCGTCAGTGGCGGCGGCGGCCCCGGTCGCCGAAATGCAGTGGCTGTCATCAGCGAGTCCCACGGGTCGCAACTAGCGGTTAACGGAAAACATCTAACCGCCAACTCCCGCAATATGCTGCGCTTTTTGGTAAGGACGGCTCAGTTTCCGCATGCTTAGGAATAGCAGGTCAGGTTAAGAGATGTTCGTTCGTTTGACCGTTAATGTCAAAAGCACCAGATACGCCACTAGGGCGGTACCGTACGCCCTTCTTTGTGTCGCCGAATGGGCCGTCGCCTGGATGGACTATCAATGGGCGGATGAACAACTATGCGGACCGGCGATTGTATCGCCGGACACAAAAGGCAGCTCACATTTCACAATTCACAGCTTTTCTGGTAAACCAACGACACGACTGTTTCCGTTGTCAGAGTTACAGTTATCCCCGGTAGGATCGCCTGCCATACATACTTCGCAAGCCGCAACCAAGCAATGGACAGGCTGCCAATGGTTGGTAAGTGGCGGCTAACGTTATAGTCGTCCCGTCATTCGTACGACTGCAACCGCCTGGCAGGTTCCCCTGCTGCTTTGGGAGGTGGCGCTTGCGACCATCGGAGGACTCAGCTACTATTGGTTGGAAGGCATGCAGGTACGTGTTTGGACGCGAGGGCATGTGGGATACAGCTGCGGTACTAAGCACGTGTTAAGAGGGAGCGACGTCGCTCTTTCGTATACATGCAAACAGGAATGAGAAGTATTACGTAAGTATGCAAGGACATGCAGTGTGGCTTACTAGCTCACAGAGTATGAGAGTCCGCGCGATAAAATTGATAGAGAATTAACTGTTAAGCGACTCCATTTGCTTGTACTAGCTGTGGATCTACTCGTTCGTAAAAGTTCAAGACAACGTATGGCTTGTGCCAAGTCTTAAATTGTGCTTAGAGGGTTAATCTGAGGTCAGGATTGTAGTAAATTCGAAGATACTAATGCTGCGTTAAGGCATATTAGAGGCTACTTTCAGTTTCAAGCACGAGTCTTGCGACCCACCATCGGGCACATGGCTGGCTATGAAATGTTTTCCCAGGTCACTCCAGCGAAGTACTACACAGTTAATCATGATCCATGTAGGGGGCTTGTCAATGGTGCGCTTGCGCATCCGACTTGCCAGCATGGTTGCGGCCTTACACTACCGCTGCAGCCGTGCACCCGCCCATTAAATAAACGTAACAGTAATGTCCTACACTACGCCTCCAGAGGAAGCGACAATATTCAATTTTTCAAACCCTAAGTATGAAAAATTGGGTGATGCTACCTTATGCATTAATTAAACGGGGTAGGGTCTGCATCGCAAACGTATTTCTTCACTCTTGCATGTCTGCTCCGTATTCTAGGAGAGATCTGTTACAGCGGGTCCGAAACAAGTTTTTGAGTAATCTTGATCCAATCAATCAAAGAATGGGCAGTTCGATCATGCAGGCTGATTGATGTTTGCATCTGCAACCTGAGCCACGCACGACAACCATGCATGCAGCCCAAACGATTCATCGTCTGATTCTCTGCCATGCATGCCGTACATGCAGGGCCCTCTTGCCTCTCTCAATATGGCCTCACATGTCATATATCGATACACACGAGTACGGTGAGGCTGGCTGTGTTGGGAAGGGAGAAGGGGGTATTATAATACCATTTTGCAGGACTTCGGACGGCCGATGCACACATACACACAGTCACAGTCTCATGCACCTCAAGAACCTCCAGATTCCCACCACCGGCTTCCCATTCATTCATTCAGACGTTCTACCAGACATCCTAACCCCGTATTGGCATGCACCCTTACACACCAACTATCACGAAATCCAAGCTATAACCCAGGACAAAACACAGGCCGTATAGATTTATACCCGTCGCCCTCAACTGCATCACTCCCCGCCTTCCTTTTCTTGGATATACGGTGCTTGTACGGCTAACGAACGGCAAATATGCAGCATGTTGGCGTTGCTGCTGGTGTCGGGCAGCACCCCCTTGGTGAGGTCTCGGTGGCGGAATGTGCTATCAGCAGAGTTAGTGAACCTGCGGGACGAGTACGACACACTGCTATACGGCGGGGTAGCATTAACACAGGTACTTGTATGGACATGCGTACATATGTACGACGTCATGGTTATCTTCTCCATTTTTTATTCCGGTTTCTTCTACAGTTTTTGTCCTATAGTTGTTACTTCATATCTATATTGTCTTTTCCTTGGTTCCACTGCGGCGATATGCGAGGGATCATAGTAATTAGATTGGTGATGCTCAGGGCGTGAAGGTGATTCTGGTGCCCGGTGATGAGGGCACATTTGCACACACACATAAAACTGGTGTTCGCCTTGGTTGGTACCCTTCGGCGGCTTCTTGTGCACAGACACGTGTATGTAGATGTGTCGCTGTTCCTGTACTGTCAGATCTTTAGGTTGACGTTCATTCATTCGCATTGCCTCGAAAACTTCTCACAGGCCGGCAGTGTGTTTCAGAAGGCCGTCCCCGCCTCCACCTTCGAGAGCTCCTCCTTCGCGGGAAACTTCTTCACCGAGGAGAGGTGCTTTCGTTGGGACCAGAGCAAGTGCTACACACCGGACAGCCCCTACTACCAGGTGAGGCGGCAAAAGAGGGGGCAGGGGGAGGGGGAGGGGGAGGGGGTCGCCGCCCGCGGCGTCAAGTGCGTGTACGTGTGCCCGTGGGTATGCATGCAAGCGCATGTGTATGTGTATGCGTGCATGTAATTGACCTCCTAAATATCTGGGAAACACTAATAATGTAATTGTTTTATCAATCTTACGCTGGTTCGGCACCGGTTAACTTTCCCTTTAGGTGTAGTCTGTAAACTGATGTATGAGGCTGGGGTCCCCCTCCTCTGCCCCACGTTCTCTACCCATCTCCCCCTCATGTGGATGTCCCCCCCCTCTGGTCAACAGCGATAACAAAGACGCCCCACCACCATTCCCTTACCACCAACTGCCACCCTCAACCACCCTACCAACCTTGCTGCTGGCTGCTTTAATGGAATCACCCTCTGACCTCCAAAACCCGCCCATCTCCCCCATCTCCCCCATCTCCCCCATCCCCACCAACCATGCCGTCACCTAACCCATACAGCTCACGCACCATGGCCTGGACTCCATGATGCGCCGGGTGGTATCCGAACTGGAGCTGTTGGTGGCGGATGATGATGCGGACGCCGTGTACAACGGTACGAGGTACACCACCATGTAGGTGTGAAAGAGTGAAAGGAAGAGGGCTTGGAGGGAGGGAGGCGAGACAGGGAGCGACGAGGGGAAAGAAGGGGAGGGAGGCGGGACTGCATGTATGGCAGCGTTCATGCCTTACACCACCACCCTGTGAGCACATTTGGAGGGGTTTTCCCACCCTGCTATCTTGTTAATTTCAGCTCAGTTGTATTACCTGTAAATACCTGCCGTAATTTCGACGTTGGTTACCGTACAGGTACATGGTGGGCACGAAGGACTTGTACGAGGGGCTGCAGAGCAGCGCGCAGCTGTTCGTAGACTTCATGATCGGCAGGTGGGGAAGACGAAAACCACGCGCGAGTGAAGCTGATGCCAAAAAAAGACTGATGGCCCAGAACTAAGGAAGGCATAACTAACCAGTCGGCGATTGTAAAGAAGAAGTCCTCACGATGATAGCGCCGCCAAGGCTAAAAATAAAGTAAAATGCAGGAAGAGAGCAGGAAAACCATCCGTAATATTGTAGAGGTAGGTGTAAAAACGGCGAAGAGCAAAAAAATTGACGTGCGTTGAGAAAGAGGCGACGTAAGCTGGAAAAAAGGTTCGCCGGCCTGGCCGCGGAATTGAGGAACCCGGACAGAACTGGCTGATAAGCTGCTGGTAATTAGCTGCTGGTAATTAGCTGCTGGTGACATGCAAGTGCTCCTCCCACCCCCCAACACACGCTCAACCGACCCGACTGACCCAACCATCCTAGTCCGGCTAGCCGACCGACGCGAAGGCGATACACCGGCAAAGCACTCGAGCCTCCTCGGACTCACCTGGCGGCCAGGCAGCAGAAGCGGCGGGCAAGGGCACATGCGAGGCACAGCGGACGAAAGGTTGTGAGCAGCGGCCGATGAAGAAAAGAACGCATGCGAATGCCGCTGAAGGGGAGTATTAAGCTATGGAAGTGCGGAAGAAATGGGGGGGGGGGACTAAAAAGGAAACAGGAATGCAAAGGCGGCGCAGGACGACGCAGGTGGTGTCGTACTAGATGACGGAATTGACATCGTCATTACGAAATGGAGGAAGGTGGGGGGAACGATAGGGATTGTGTGTGTATATGCACATGCACACACATGCACACACACATACAGCCATAAACACACACACACATACAGCCATAAACACACACACACATACAGCCATAAACACACACACACACACATACAGCCATAAACACACACACACACATACAGCCATAAACACACACACACACATACAGCCATAAACACACACACACACACATACAGCCATAAACACACACACACACACATACAGCCATAAACACACACACACATACAGCCATAAACACACACACACACACATACAGACATAAACACACACACACACATACAGCCATAAACACACACACATACAGCCATAAACACACACACATACAGCCATAAACACACACACACATACACACATACAGCCATAAACACACACACACACACACACATACAGCCGGATCCAGGAAATCGGACCCAGGAAATCGATCCAAGGGAAACCCCGAAGTCCTAGAATTCCCTAAGCTCTGAAACACGGACCCTCCTACAACCCCCCGCGGCCGCTCCTCTGTACCTACCCACTTGGCCCCTGCCCGCAGGTACCAGAATGTAAAGCTGCTGCATACCCTCTTGCTGGTAGCTACTATTGTACTGTTTGTGACGTACGCCCTGCTCGTCCTGCGGCCGTACTTGGCGGGGGTAGCCCAAGAGGCGCACCGCCTGGCGGGGCTGCTGAGCCACGTGCCCGCCGATATGGACGTCGCGACATATGCGCGGAACGTGATGCGGGCGGCGGCACGTGCAATGCAGGCCAACGGCGGCGGCGGCGGCGGCGGCGGCAGCGCTGCCGCCACTGCTGCCGCCACTGCTGCCGGCGACGGCGGCAGTGGGGAGAGGCGTCGTAGGACTAGTGGACCTGGTGCTGGACCGACTATGGTCCCCGGCAGCAGCGCCGCCACCGCCGCCGCCACCGGGGTCCACCATCGGAGGTCGAGTGGCGGCGGTAAAGGGGCAGGCAGCGGCGGCGGCCGAAGCGTGGCCGTGTAAGGCGCCCAAGGTCCCCGGTTGCCTCGAGGTGGGAATAGGAGCGGCAGTAGCAGCCCAGGCTGCCAAGGTTTAAGTGCGGTGTGGGAAGGTGGGTTCCCACAGGGTGTATACATACACATGCGCACACACGCATGGAGCCAAGACCTGCATCCAGGGCTGCTCAGTAGCGACTTAACTTAGGGTTTTAGTCACCGTCGTGACGTCTTAAGAAGAGTTTTAGGGGTTTTGGAGGACTATGGCTTTAGGTTTTAATAGCGCTGGGTCGGGCTGTACCCTCGGGCGCAAATGTATCCTCTCACCAAAAGGCGAAAGAGGAAGGCGACGTGTATTGGAGATTGCGATGGTTAACAATTGCGTTACCATGTGGTGGTAGAGTACACAGGATTATTATTTTCATATATGTAAATACATATGTGCAAGGGCTTTCCATTAGCCCCCTTGTTGTAGTACATCGTCGTAATGTATTAACGTGTGCCATGCACACGTCTGTCCGTCTGTCCATCTGTCAGTCGGTATACGTTTCGTGGACGATGAGAAGGAGAGAATGGATGATGATTGGTGATATTATTATGTGATAATGTTCCTCGTAACCTTCCTCCTAGAACTTCGTACGGATGCCGTACCACTGTACGGCCGAAATTCGGTAGTATCATTTTGCCGCCAGCGCGGCAGGCCTTCACCTTTCTTACCTCAAGCTCCCAATGCACCACCCGACGTTCACGTACATACACACATACATACATACACGCATACATACACAATGTGATGTTGGTTGTGGTGGTTGCGGCCGGTGAAGAGATGTGAGGTTAACAGATACCGGGATGGCCGTGCATACATGGGCAGGGGGCAGGTGGCTGGCAGAAGTTAAGGCCTGGCTTCTGCTTCTGGAGGTTCCGGGTTCTAATCCGCCTGCCGACCCCTCGGTGTGTGAGGGGTGTTGTTTTGGGAGTTGGGCCCCCCATCTTATGGACGGAGTAGGACGTGATTCTATCAACTTGCGAGTTGACCAGGAACTAAGTTGTGGCGCCGTTGATCCGCTAGATTTGGTTGGATGCTGGTGGTGAGTTGCTGAACCCAACGAATTCATTCTGAAGTCGGATGGGGTGAATGGATTAGGGTGCCCCTCTCGCAGGGGAGAGTAGCGAACTGCCTCGGGAAAGGGGGCCGCTGGTGAAGCTATACCACCCTGTAACAACATCATACACGCGTGTGCATATCCACGTACGACGTATTTGTTGTCGTAAAATGTCGTACTGCCATTGCACCGGCTGATACGCTGGACATCTGTTTATTTGTACAAGTACAAGTACGTACGTACAAGTACGACAGCATAAGGTTTGGATGACTGCACCGGAGGGGACAGGAACGGGATTGGCTTGTACACGGCCACGTACTCCGTGCAATCCTTTCAGATTAAATTAGGACCGATTAACAACGATAACATTATATATGTTATCGTATCTACATTAGCAACTAGTTTGCGCCATGGGAAAACGACCCTCATTTTCGCCTCGCGTTGTAGCTCCGGAACCCTTTCGTTTCCTTCGCAAATGTTATCTGTTTTGTTACATTGAACGGACGGTTTGTCGTCTTTGGTATCTTCAACCTCTTTCAGTCGACCTTTAAAGAGTTTGCACACAGCTCACGGAGGGACGTTTCTTTCTTTGAGCTTGTGTGTGGGGAGGGCGGAGTGGGGTTTGTGGGGGTCTGTGGGGAAGGAAAGGGGTCAAGGGGTAATCTTCTTCTTCTCCTATTCCCATCTGCAGCACCCTCATCCTCATCTTGAGGAAAGGCGTGTGTCGTTTAGGGTTCAGTCGCTGAGCAAAAGGATATGTACCCCAAAACAACATTTTTGCAGTTTTGCTTGAGGCCACCTGACTGATGCAACACAACACTACACAACCAAGGCCGGCATGCATAGTGGCCCAGTGCGATCTGCTCCTGTTACGCAACTTGTGAATATGACGCACAAAATGGTGCCAAGTGTCACTAACCCTAACCCTGCCAATAACCGCTTTTCCACGCATGGCGCATAAAACCATTCCCCAGCACCCCAAGCGTGCGGGCCCAACATCCCTCGCCGTCCCCTGCTCAGCATTCGAACGCACATACACGCACGCGCACCTTAATGCCTTCGTGGGACTTGAACCCAAAAACGGGGCCCCTCCAGGGCGGACAGAGTAGACCCATTCATGTTATCCCCCAATCTTTAATCTCTCTTTCATCAGGTATCATTCCCTGGACACGGGGAGCTGCCGGGCCCTTCACACCGTCATATCATCACGTGTTGAACCCACACTGCCCACGAACAAGAACGGCACTGCGAACTTGGCTTCCTTCCTCGAGTGATAACTGTTTCTTCAAGATCCGCGCGGGGGCCTGAGGGAAACACGCCTCACCCAGCCATGGTGGAGCCATGACCGAGAGCGAGTGGATGGGAAAAAGGGAACCGGCATGTTGCTGTTGCTGTTGCTGTTGCTGTTGCTGTTGTTGTTGCTGTTTTCAACCGTCAGCTAAGCATGACTGCAAGCTATGACAATCACACGGAAAAAAGGCACGGGACATGGCACGGAAAGCACCACAGACAGGACCACTCGCGGTACGCGAGCGCTACAGAATTTCTGTGGTGCGGCATCATTAGCCCCTCGACCCCCAACACGTACCCCCGCCACCGAAACCAAACTCGATCCCGAACACCGAGACCCGCCAAACCAACCTAAAGCTTATCTGTGCATCATGAAGCATTCAAACTCGTCTCTTGACGGGCCTTGGTGCGACCACTAGAAGGACGCACCAGCAGGCAGGCAGGCAGAAGGGAAAGGAGGAAACGCTTTGTAAGCTAAAGATATTAAGAGAAAACGTGGTTCAGCACACCCAGGAACAAACGCATCATACACAAAGCTATACCTGGACATCATCATAGCTATCATGCTTGGTTGACGACTGGCAGCACTCATCATATTTTGCTTTGCTGCATCTTTCCTAAAAGGTATTTGCTGCATCTGCTGCTGCTACTGCTGCTACTGCTCCGGCAACTGTTATTTCCTGGGAAGACCTGTCGTCCATTTTGTTTCGGGGCAATGAAATCTGATCAACCTGGCCAACTGCTCAAAATTCATTGCCAGGCCCGGGCTCAGCATTACCCAGCAACACCACTAACATCAGCACTGACTCGCGAGCTGATCAGGAATGGAGTTGAACCGCCGTCGATCCGGCAGATTCCGTTGGATGCCGGTGGTGGGTGCGGAACCTGAGCGATCCACTGAGAAGTTGGTAGGGTGACTAGATGAGGGTGCCCCGAAATACCGGGGAAGGCAGGGTCTACCGGGTAGCGGCCGCAGGGTGAAGATATGCCCCCTTGTCCCACACATCATAGAAGATTAAAGCTGCCTTCGTGTCGTGGGGCGAGTTATGGACAATTCGACACGCGCACCGGGAACCGAAATAAGCTTCAAGCTGTGTTTTGTTTGCGAAATGGGCAAGTGTTTACGGTAGCGGTTGAACCAATCCTAGGGATGTTCTTCTTCTTCTTCTTCTCCTATTCCCATCTGTGGCATCCTCATCACGGCAGCCGCGGTGCCGCCTGTTGGAACCCATGTCACTCAATCACCCACCCACCCCCTGTCTTCCGGTCGAAGGCCATTATCTTCTTCAACTCCGCCACGTCACTATTTCTCCATTTCCCACTGCCCGCCGCCTCCACTTCCGCTTTGCTGATTCAGTCGGTAGGAGAGCTGGAGCCCATCCGAGGACCCGTTTTCGTTCACACAGGTGGGGGGGGACGTATCCCGCATATGGGGAGAGGTGGATGTGGTGAGCAACCCGCACTTGCCCGCACATTCACGAACAGCGCGGGAGTGTGTAGGCGGGAGACGGTCAACCGGAGGGAAACGGTTGGGACGGTTTTGTGGTTGGACTTCTAGTCGCGACTCTGCGATGGCTTTGGAAGCCATTGGCTGGGGGAAGGAAGGAGCTGGGCCGGGCTTACACAAACAGTCGGCAATAATTTTCAAGCATGTGCTTGGTTTTGGGGAGAGGGGGGTTGATGTGTTTTTCGTTGCCGTTCGTTTGTAGCGCAGCAGCGCCGACAGAGCTTTTTGACACAAGTGCACTTGTACACCTTCACTCATTAGCAAGCCCCCTCCTCGCCCCCTTCCTTGGCAGTCTCCGGTCGGAACGTCTTTCCTCAATACGGTACCGCTAATAACACTTAGCATCGCTCCTGCACACATCCATCCATCCATCCATCCATACACATCAGGCAAACGGCTCCCTCAGAACCCCCCGGGACTTCCCTCCGGTCCCCCCATCACGAGCAGGATGTCACTGGGTTAGAAACCACACAGACAGACAGACAGATAAACAGATAGACAGGCCGACAGACGTACGTACTCAACACACAATAGACTCAAGAGTAAATACATACATACATACACAGACGCGCGCGCGCGACCACACAGGCCGCACATGGCCGTCACGAATACTGGCGAGCGCGGGAGGAGAGTTGGCAACAGGGGGAGCTCAAAAGCTGACTCCCTCCCCCCCTCGGACCCCTCCTGCTTCACACACATCTCAACATGACTAGCTAGCTAGCAAAGGGGAGCAACACTACGTCCAACAACAAAACCACCGCCATCCCCCCCACCCCGCTATCCCCCCCACCCCCCACCCCCAGCCCGCTACCACCGAGCCGACACACGCTGTCCGCCGGAAAGGAGTCAGCAGCCGCAGGACAACCCCCACAGCAAGCAACAATCGTAACATGACAACATACATACATACATCGCCGCCGCCACCAGCGCCGCAGCAACGACCACAACGCGAGCAAGGTGCCGCGGTATGAATGTCGCCGTACAGCCGTACATGGGCGTGGGGGAGTTGTTTAAGGTGGGGGAGGGGAAGCAGGGGAAGGAGGGAGGGGAGGAAGAAACCTGGTCACGGCTTGGGAAAACACTGGAAACTCCCCGGCTGGTGATGATGATGATGATGATAATGACGATGATGATGACGACGACGACGCTAATGATGATGACAATTATTTTAATTATAATAATTTTTTCTTGTATATACTCATTACGATGAGGGGGTTATGAAGTAGCGACGAGAGGCGGGATGACAGGCTGGCGAGGATGGAGATCTAGTGACACCATTTTCATTTTCATGGCTTGTTTAGGATACATATGCATTTATCATTAAGACTTAGGGTAGCAGTCCTTTTGGCTCATGGTGTCAGGCTCAGTCCGATATTATATGAAACACGCTCTCCCACAGACAGACAGACAGACACACGCAAACACGCACACACACACACACACTCATTCTCTCAAACACTCTCTCTCGCCGGCACAAAACCCGTTTCTCCCCCCCCTTAACCCCCGGTATCGTATCCTACGTGATTCGGTTGGTTAGTTGCTGCGCACCAGATTGCGCAGTGCGTCCGACAAGTCAGGGTACTTGAAACGGTAACCAACCGCCTGAGTACGCGCGGGCATGACGCGTTGTCCCTTTGGGGGATTTGGGAGGGGGGAGAGGAGGAGGGGAGATGGAGGGGACAGGGAAGGGGAGGGGGAGGGGAAAGCGTATAGGGTTTATTAGGGCTCCGGAGCATGTGTCAGTGGCAAGCTCGTCAGGCACGAAGATTGGACGTAGAAATGATTTCCTCCACCCCTTTTCATTTTGTCAGAAGAGTAAAACGGGGAAAGGCAGTCACACGCCCTCCTTCCCATCAACAATTATAGGAAATAAAACAATAAAACACTAGGGGGGCCCAAACACAAAAAAGACAAAAGCGTTCATACACACTCTCACACACATACACCTTTCCCCCCAACCCCCTCCTCCCCCCCACCTCAAGCACCACACTGGCGCCCTCGCCAAGGAGGGTCATCAACGCAAAGTCCGGAACAGGCAACCAGCTGGGGCGGCCAAGGATGTTGCCTGATCAGGAAGCAGTTACGGAAGTGGGGAAGAGGCCCACGGGGGAGGGGGGAGCATCTCACAAGGGCAGACAGAGGGCGTGGGTGGTGGGGACAATGCCGTATGCCGAACTCGAGGAGCATCATCGGGCCTGGCCAGGAAACACCTGCACCCCGGGAGGAGACAGAGGGCCGGGGCCCGGAAACGGGCGGCTGCAGATGCAGTGTGTTACTCGAGAAGAGGTCACGATTACGACGTGCCGATTATCAACGGTTCCGGAGCAGGGGGTTGGTGGGTGGGAGGGGAGTACGGGGCAAAGACGGGATATCCTCATCATACCGTCGAAGAAGATTCTGGCCTTAGAAGATTCTGTGTCTTCTGAGGCCTCGACACCGACCCGCCCACCCACCCACATCCATCTATGTTTATCTCCATATCCACAAACACGCACCTAGTACGGAACAAAGTTCGCTCATCCGTACAGGTTTCGGAGCTGTGGCGTTAAAAATACCCGAGTACGCTGGCTTGGACAGGGCCTTATCACCGGAGTGATGGGGGGTGGGGGGAAGGAAAAGCGCACGGGATAAGGAGGGGGGGTGTTACGTGTGTTGGATGTGTGCATGTTTGGTGCGTAAGTGTGTTCAGGAGGGGAGGCGTCTAGAGGGGCGCTAACTCGAAGTTCCATAGTCGAGTGCAATGATGATGATGTTGATGATGGTGGTGATGTTGATGATGGTGGTGATGGTGGTGGTGATGATGATGATAATGCTGCTGCGGATGATGGTGGTGACCGGGGAGGGGAAGTACTCCAGATGCGGAAACACACACTGTCTGTGAACATCCTTGAGGAAAGGGAGTACTACTAGTGTACTTTTGACGTTGCGGTCCCCCAGGGGGGATATGTGTGTTCCCTTCACACATGCACATAGAGATGTGCGCGCGAAAGGAATACACGTTTATCATTTAAAACCTAATATGAAGGCCCGCAGAGCAGCCGTACGCATGTCGTACCTCAATAATTAGATCCACCACATCATCTCGATGGATCCAGCTCATCCATTGTTTCCCACTTCCCAGAGGTCCACCTGCGGCAACATCAGTGGGGGAGAGGGGGAGAGGGCTTAGGTAAGGACGAGGCCATGAACGTGGTGGGTTTGACCACCAACCAACTTCCCATAACCGAATTGCAACCGACTTCACAACCTCACCTGCGAAGATCTGGAACACTGGGAGCATCTTGCCCAGTGCGCCACCCTGAAGGACGAAGGGGGGGTTAGGGGGGGGGGGTTTGGACAGAGACCGTGAACAGGGAAATAGAAGGGAGCGGGTGGGCGGTGGGGGGTCGGGGGTGGGAGATCTACGCAAGCAAATGATGCTGGGAGGGGAGGGGAGGGGAGGGAGACACGGAACGCCCCCGGGGGCCCGCGACCGCGGGTTGGATACACACACGCACATAAATAGTCACGTGGGAGGATCCTGAGTCAAGGGAGGGATAACCCGCACATGAAACACCCTCTGGCGCTGAACGTGTTTTTCCCCTCTGTCCCCTTTGACCCCCGCCCCGACAACGGACCCCGGCACACACGCGCAAAAACATTGACACACACCTCTCTCTTCCTCCTCCGCCTCCCCCAACACTCCCTCCTCTTACCTCGGGCGCGAGTACAATTCCAAACCTCAGAATGGCGACACGCACCCCGGCGGCCGCAGCGTTCTGAGCGGCTGCCTCCCAAACACGACACACCTTCTCACGGGGAAGGGGTGGGGGGGTATTTACAGGAATACGACGTAAGAAATTACCAACAAGAATTTGTGGGGGTGGGGATGTGGAGTACCAATGACCGGACGTATGGAGGGGGGAGAGCTCTGCACGGCTGGCGGCCGGGAAAGGAAGTACGAGGCGGGGAGGAGGGGGGAGAAAGGGTTCGTGCCATCATCGACTTAGGGTTTAAACGCCGTGTGTAAGAAGCGGGGAAGCTACCCCACCCCACCAAGTACCCCACCAAGCCTCGTGTTCTCCTATTCAGGAATAGCCGTACAGTACCACAGTGCCGTACATCCGTACCTCAGCAAGGTAGTCATTGCCGGACGGACTGTCTTCTGTGTACGTGGCAGTAGAGCTGATACCGTAAAACCCTGCAAGTACGGTTTAAATGGATGTACGGATGGTTCACTGCATAGGTGTTCGGATGTACGGATGTGCTTGGATGGATGCACACGGCCCTCTTCCCCCCGAAGCATCCACACCTCATTCTTTCAGCACATCCTCCAACTTCCCCCCTCCCTCCCTCCCCCACCCAACCACCTAACATAAACATACATACATACACACATACATACATACATACATACAACTCACCGACAGCTGATGCGGACACTAACACGTCAGGGCGCTTGTCCGCGGGGGTCGCCTTGATCGCGTCCTGCGTGGGGTGCGCCGAGACGGGGGCACAGAACCCCCCCGGGGGGGAGGGAGGGGGTGGGCTGTCGCGGCGGAGTCGGCGACCCTGGCCTAGCCATCCATCCATCCGTCCAGCTGCGGTTCCCTTTCCTGCCCTTTCCTGCCTCAGGGCGAGTCAGCACCACCCCGCCCCACCAGGACCAGCCCACACCAGCCCACCAACCCGTCACGGACACCTCCCCCCTTTCTTAGCCCCTCCCCTCCCCTCCGCTCCGCTCCCTCTCCACACGGCTGCCCCCCGTACGACCGCCCTCGGACTCCAGAGCCCACCCACCACAACGGCGGTGGTGGCCCCTACTCGCGACGACTTGATGCTCCGCTTCAGATCCTCGGTCCACCTGGACACGGACAAACATACAGAGTCCCATACGGACATACTCACATACACACACACTCATCTGCATTAACGAGAACTTCTCCATTTTCCCTCATCAAATTGTATTTCAAGTCAAGTCAAGGCATAGAAGGCATGTCAAAAACACAGACACGGGCTTCCCCATGCTTATCCCCCCCACCCCTTCAACCCCTCTCCCCTCTCCTCGTCTACATGCAAACCCCCTCTCACCCCCTAAACCCCCCTCTCTCCCCTCAAATCGCCCATTACATCCGCCTCAATCCGCCCCCTACACTCCCCCTCAATTCGTCCCCCGGCCCCTCACCGTGTCGCAATGGGCTCCCCAGCCAGGTTGACAACACCCGTGGCGCCCTCCACTCCCCGGCGCCACTCGGAGGGCCCGAAGAACTCCAAACCAGGGTAGCTTAATTTGGACCGCGCAGAGGCGGGGTTGCGAGTGAGCACCCGAACCTGGTCGTGTCGTGTCGTGCGGTGTTTTATGGCGGAGCGATTTCCCCCGGGTATGAGGGGGAGATGGAGGGGGCCATGGAGGGTGTGTGAGGATGGGGTATTTGAGTTGGGTGGGCTAGGAAGAGGTAGGGGGGCGAGAAGGGGATGAATTGCCCGCTCATGTGCCTGCAAAGCCGGGACCTTTCCCGGACCTACACACAGACATAGACAGACAGACAGAGAGGCAGACACGTACCCTCCATGCAACCAAGGCCCCAGCCAAGTTTCCCCGGTGGATTCCCCACCGCACACGCACACACACACACATACTTACATACATGCACACGCTCCTCCCTGCGGTTCATCGGCCGTTCCCCCTTCTCTCTTACTCTTACCACCTACCTTGTGCCCCGCAGCGGCCAACTTAGCGACCAAGCGGCTTCCCACAAGACCTGTCGCGCCTGCGGGAAGGAAAGGACAAAATAACTTGATCCCAGGAAACGGGTTCACGAGGAAATTCAAGTCCTTGTACACCGGCGGCAACACGTCGTTATGAACTGACTGAGTCAGGAAAATTGCGCCGCTGCCCTTACCAGTGATGGCCACGGTCATTTTGTCGCCAGTCGTTGCCTTGCAGATCACCGGTGCAGCTGATCGACTTGATCGCAACGCTGGGCGTCTAACAGTGTTAGTAGTGCCGGGCGCTCGGAACGGAACCGGCCCGATGCAAGAGGCGAGCGGCAACTGCGTCGATGCACAACCGCTTCGGCCGCTTGCTTGACGCCCATGCACAAATTTCGAGCGATGAGCGGAGGCCAGATCCTTCTGAGAATGCGCCGGGGCCGTGCTGCGGTTGTAGACTTGACCTATGACAGCCATTCTTGCGTGGACAGCACTATCCTTTAGCTTTCAGCTAGGATAATGGCGAATAAGTTCTGATGGCAATTGTACCCTACTCAATTTTTCTCGCAATCAGCGGCAATTTGTTTTCGCCTCAGCAAGTAAATGGAGGACACAGATTTGAGCCGTACATACAGCTCGAAGTATAAATCGTAGTCGAAGAGCAATCTCTGCGGTTGAATTCTATAATGCTGGAGTATTATGTTGTTCTATCTTAATGAGTCCCGGCGTGTCACGAGCTTTGTATTCAAATCTAACCTGCACTGCTTTCGTACGTTACCTGTACCATCTTTCGTGAGCTATAGCGAGGCTTTACTTGTCGGAAGCATCCAGTATAATGGATGAAAAGGGCGGCATCGGGGAAAGTGTCGTGTTTACCGGAGGTGTCGGCAGTCAAACGGCGAGGAGCAAAGCCGTTGTCCCATTGCTGCAAGTGGCGAACTTGGGAAGTGGCAACGGCAGCAGCATCGGGGCGGTATGCTAGGCGCCGGTGGTGCGCGCGGCAGCGGCGTCAATCTCCAAAGCTCACCGGGTGATGACAGGCTGCTGATGCCGGCGCACCACATGCTGCAGAGGATTGGCTTGGAACTTCACAAGGCATCAGGATGTGCATCAGCTGTGGGTTGCGTGGTTGGACGTGTTGTGCTACCCCATTCAGCGTCCTGGAGCAACCGCAACTACGGGGTAAGATATGACAGGGATCTCTACCAACTTCCGGAAGACGGTCATCCGCACGCTGCATAGACGGGTGCTTGGGCAGCCGCTCAGGAAGCAGGAAGCCATGAACGCAGTACAATAAGAGAAAAAACCTCCCTACATGTCCAGTAGGCCGCACATCACGAGTACAACATCGAATTGACGGTTAATGCCTGCAATGCACAAAAGCTAAGCTGACACCGTTGGTCTCGCCTGGTCTCACAGCCCAATGTTCCTACTTCTCTCCCTCACTCCATGCATACATATCAATCCATGTATCTATTTTTAGCAACAAAGGTCCACAGTAATCCTTTGAGGAAGGAGGCTGCAGCAGCAGGGTCCCCATACAAAATTCCTAAACCCCGCCCCCAGCAACTCCCCAACCCCCGAGGATGGCTGCCATGCCAACAACTGGAAGGAGCCAAACTATGCAGATGCTCATATACACATACATACAGATAGATAGACACACATGTATGTTCTGTTTGTCATCGATATCGCACGTGATGCCACTGCATGGGCCCCTTGAGGCCCCTGCTTTGCTTTGTTCGCTAGTGTGACAAATAGAGGGCAGTAGGTCCTATTACCAAGGGGAAACGACCGTTACTACATTCTCTCCTTGTTTGTCCATGCCCCTGGCCATGCACCACCCAGCACCCAGACGTAGGCACTGCTGCTACTTCATCACAATGGCTGTTTCCGCTTCCGCTGTATTTCCCACATCATCTGCTGCATCCACAAGTCAACAAATTCTACCACACTGCTGACATGGAGGACACCCACACGGCTGGAGGGACCCGAGAAGAGGCTTTTGCAGAGTTGATGAAGAAGCTCAGCTCCATACTCAAACAAATGCCAAAGTAGCTGTTTCCACACCCCACCAGCAAGGGGGTCGCTTGCCGGAAAGTGCACATAATTGTTGCTGAGGATGCTGGAGAGTTCATTCATGAGAAGTCATGGGAGATGGCTAAGGTGGCTGTCAGCAAAGTTGATGGCCACCTCAGCTAATTATAAGTTGACGGCCACCTCAGTGAAGTTGATGGCCACCTCAGCCATCTCCCACGACTTCTCATGAATAAATTCTCCAGGTCCTCACATAGAGGAGACGTAACTGCGGTGAAGGAGAACGCCACTTCTGTGAAGAAACAAAGGCGGGGTGGAGGCGAATGGGAATGGCAAAAGTAGCGGCAAGCGCAATTTACCTGAGGGATGAGCCGAACTAGAGGTAACATGGCAGAGACCTGTTAACGTGGGAAATATGAGTGGTAGGTAGAAGGCGGACGGCGTGAGGCTGGAGGCTTATGTTTTCTGTTGGCGATGACTGCATTAGGTTATCTTCATACTCTCTACTTGATTGCTGTGCGAGCTCGCACGGTACGGCAAATGCACCTGATGCAGCTGTATATTGATGCAGCATATGGAAGTGTGTTGCCAACCCACTCATGCACAAGAACATCGGTGTCCCCAGCATACATGTCATCCTCTTCAGCCAGAGGCAAGTGAAATTCGGGGTCTTCAGTGTTACAACTGCTGCCACTGCAAACAGACGACGACTCCTCGCTGTGCATGTCGGAGCAAATCTTGACTTCTGAAGGGACGGCCTCAGCATCATAACCGTCCGCAACTGCACCCTGACGGCACGTGCACGGACCGTTGCATCGACATGGAGCAGGCTCAGGCTGTCAGGCACTGAGCGCTTCACAAGGCACTCATAGAGTGCGCCATCGTGGCTATGCCCATCCGCGAGAAAGGCTGATATCAATATTGATGTCAGCATACAAGGGGTTATCTTTCAGGTAGTCCAGAGCCTGGTATACATGGGAGGCAGATACATGGCTGAACCACACGTTGTGGTGGTGGGTGAGAAACGGTATGTAATGTGACAAGGAACATATGCTCGTCAGAAAAGCTGCGAGGAAGAATACTCGTGGTAAGGTCAAAGTTGTTTACCATATTCACCGCACACCCACGAATGCTCGGGTGTCCACCATTGCGTGCGTTTCTTTGCCTGGCGGTGAAAGTGCCCTTTGGGTGAGACCTCAATTCTTTGGGTGCCCAGTGACAGGCAGGTGCCAACCAAGGTCAACCCAGGCCAACCCACGGCCATCCATTTCCATGTAGCCCGCCACCGGCGGCTAACAGAATTACAAGAGCCAGTTCCACCCACCTGGTAGTTCCAGATGTCTGCACGTGCATTTCACCGGCCACTAGTCGGTTGTGCTAACTAACAAACCGTTGGGCTAAACCCAACCTGCCTTTATGAAAATAGGCTCACAAGGATTAACATAATGCATGCGGGCCGATGACCAAATCGATAAAAACCAAAGCTCCTCCAGCCTCTTTCCCCGCCTTCATCCCTACCGTATTCACTTCCTCGTGTGGCACCGCGTCAACCTATGCGGTACATCCAGAGTGTTAGATTGGTCATACCCTCGAACTTACGGAAAAACGTAAAATCCCTGAAACCCTTAACGGAATAAACGTTTTTAACTCCGGAAAGAATGGCGGCAACAGGGGGCGTTCCATTAATAGCCATGTCATCGTGGTTAGTTTCTGGACGGTTTTCGTGCCTGAGTGTGCTGCTCCTGCTCCACCTCCACAAGATGTCTGTTTTAGCCAAGGAAATGCACAAAGGCACACGCACGAGTACCTCCTGCTGGACCAACTCCTCTTCTGGCGTGCGAGCGGCTTCCAACGAGGTGAGCATTTCATGTAATGCATCACAACGGCTATTTCCGCTTCCGCCGTCCCACCTCGTCATCCGCTGCGTCCACAAATCAACAAATTCTACCACCCTGCTGCCAAGCTACTAGCGTCGGTGAATCTCACCGCCAGCCATTTCATACCCGCCGCTTCGGTTCTTTTTTCAATGCTGAGATGCAAACACATGCGCGTGCGCGTGCATACAAGGCATGCCAGCAGCAGCAGCGTGAGCTGTCCAAATGAGGAATAATAACAATATTAATACCAAATTCGGCGAGGATGGTTGGGAGGGCTCGTGGGGATGATGATGATATCGTGATGGAACGATTTGGTAATATGTGTTGTCATAATTAGTGGTCACGGCAATTGTCAAATATTATGATAATGGTCATAACGCGAACAATAACATCACTGTAATCATAGCGATGATGAAGCGGCGGAAGACGCCAAGCCCCAGAGAGCAGCCACAGCAGCAGCGGCGGCATATCAGCTCTGGCCACGGGCGCTGGCAGGGGCACAATCCGCAACAATTCCTTAACCAAGACCACCCAGCAACGCAGTTGATGTGGTGGCCGCTATGGTGGTGGTTGTAGAGCGCAGGCAATCAACCACCGATGACCAACTCATCGCAGTACACAGCTGTCCCAACCCCCAGCACGTCGCTTACACGTCTCACCTCACTCACCCCAGGCGCACGCACGCACACACACGCCACCTAAAACCCCTTCGCTTCCACCACACCCCTAAATTCATCACCAGCAGCACCACCACCACCACCTTTGCAACAGGACTCTGCTTCACCAACAAGCCGAAAACGAGCGCAACAGCAGTAAACAACATCAACAAGCAATGTCGTCCAAGTAACGCTGATCAACAACAAAGACAACGTCAATTGAAAAACTGTCCCTGCATCTCTCCGAATCGTGAATCTGAATGCCCCTCCCTTGATCCCATTCGCCTTCACTCTTTCTCACCCTCCGCCGCCTTCTTCCCCTCCCTCCCCTTCTCCATAACCATCATACAAGACCCTAGAGCCGTTCCACATTTTGAGGATTGCTGTTTCCATCTGCGGCGGAGGGTGTGGTGGTGGTGTACGGGGCCAGATGTCGTACACGAGTGCAGGATCTGTCGCAGACGGGAGTTGTAAAACCCTAGTTAGTTGGAGCCCTTCCGAGTCCTTCGATGCGGATCCATCCCCCGCTTATTTTTTTATCAATTCTATAAAGCACCGCACTCACATCAGATGCGCCTAGCCACCCAGCCGCCTAGCCACTAGGTCCATTCCGTTCGTGCATTGTCTCCGAACTGAACGG